ACCTTACATCAATATGTTTAGTTCTAGCACGATACACCTGATTCTTAGCCAAGTGAATAGCACTTTGATTATCACAAAGCAACTGAACTCCACCTTGTTGAACACCCAACTCCTTCACTAAACCAGTAAGCCATAAAGCTTCTTTTGTAGCTTCAGCCGCTGCCATGTACTCAGCTTCAGTTGTAGATAGAGCCACAATAGATTGAACAATAGACTTCCAACAAATAGGCCCTCCACCAAGAGTAAAGACATACCTTGTCGTAGATCTTCTATTATCCAAGTCACCTGCATAGTCTGAATCCACATATCCTACAACCAAAGGATTATCCCGCTGACTCCCAAAAACAATTCCATGTCCCACAGTACCCTTTAAGTACCGAAAGATCCACTTGACTGCTTCCCAATGTTGCTTACCAGGTTTAGACATGTACTTACAAACTTGACTAACAGCATGAGCTAAATTAGGACGAGTACATACCATCGCATACATCAAGCAGCCAACAACATTAGAATACGGAACCTTTGCCATATCTTCAGCTTCCTTATCTGTCTTGGGGCACTGTTCTGATGAGAGCTTAAAGTGATTCGCCAATGGAGTGCTAACTGGTTTTGCGCTGCTCATCGCAAACCTTTCTAGCATTTTCTCAACATAACCCCGTTGAGATAGCCGCAGTTTCCTTGAGTCTCTGTCCCTGCAAATTTCCATTCCAAGAATTTTCTTTGCAGCACCTAAATCTTTCATATCAAATTCCTGACTCAATAAAGTTTTCAAACCGATAACATCATCCATGTTCTTCGCAGCAATCAACATATCATCAACATACAGTAATAGAAAAATAAAAGAACCATCATCAAGGCTCTTAACATAGACACAACAATCATACTCACATCGGTTGTAGCCAATCTTGATCATATAGGAGTCAAACCGTTTATACCACTGTCTCGGAGACTGTTTTAACCCGTACAAAGATTTCTTCAATCTGCAAACTAAATGCTCGTTTCCAGGTTGAGTGAAACCTTCAGGTTGCCGCATGTAGATCTGCTCCTCTAAATCACCATGCAAAAAAGCAGTTTTAACATCCATCTGCTCTAAATGCAAATCCCAACTAGCCACCAATGCAAGTACTGCTCGGATTGAAGTGTGCCTGACCACAGGAGAAAAGATTTCATCATAATCAACTCCTTTCTGCTGTGAAAAACCCTTCGCTACCAAACGAGCCTTGAACTTCTCCCCCTCTTTTTCTGTTACTGCTGGTTTCTTCTTATACACCCATTTGCAACCAATCGGCTTCTTACCCTCAGGAAGGGGAACTAACTCCCATGTGCGATTGTGATTCAAAGACTCCATCTCCTCAACCATGGCTGCCATCCACTTGTCGTTTTCCTGACTAGTAACGGCATCATGAAAAGTAACTGGATCATCACTGCTAACAGTAAGTGCAAAAGATACCAAGTCTTCAAAACCCAATCTGTTCGGAGGCTTTATATTCGTCCGTCTCACCCTGTCTCTGGCGAGACTATAATCCTGCAAATCATCCGTAGTGGAACCACCAGAAGTCGGTTGAGAAGTTTCTGGTTTCTCAACTGGAAACTGCTCGAAATCTACCACTGTCGTGTCTTGCTTCTGCTGCAACATAGACTGTTCATCAAAAACGACATCTCTACTAATCACAACTTTCTTCGCAACTGGATCCCAGAACTTGAATCCTTTGACACCTTTCTTGTAACCCAGAAAAATGCATTCCTTCGATTTTGCATCAAGTTTGGATCTCTCATCAGCAGGTACATGCACATAAGCAGGACAACCAAAAATCCGTAAGTTATCAAAACTAACATCATGACCAGTCCATACCTCTTCTGCAACTTTCCCAGCCAGCGATGCCCTTGGCGATCTGTTGATAAGGTAACACGCCATGTTAACAGCCTCAGCCCAGAAGTGTTTGGGAAGCCCCGCATTCAACCGCAAACATCTGGCTCTTTCATTCAACGACCTGTTCATTCGTTCCGCAACACCATTCTGTTGTGGTGTCTTGCGCACTGTAAAATGCCTCTGAATCCCATGCTCCTTACAGAATTGTAGGAACTGTGAATCTGTGTACTCCGTACCATTGTCAGACCGCAAACACTTGATTTTTCGTCCTGTTTGGTTTTCTACCTCAGCTTTCCACAGCTTGAACTTCTCAAAAACTTCAGATTTCTGTTTCAAAAAATACACCCAAACTTTCCGTGAAAAATCATCAATAAAAGTAACATAGTACCTAGATCCACCCAAAGACGATGTCGTGGAAGGCCCCCATACATCAGAATGCACATAATCAAGAATCCCTTGAGTTGTGTGCTTCGCAGTCTTGAAACGGACTTTAGTCTATTTACCAAGAACACAATACTTGCAAAAATCGAGCTTACAGCTTTTGACACCATGCAACAAGTTTCTCTTGTGTAATTCTGCCATACCACGTTCACTAAGATGAGCAAGGCGCATATGCCACAATTTTGTCGTATCATCACAGGACTCAACAGAGTGAACTCCACCTGCAACGGTACTCCCTAACAATCTGTAGATATTCCCTGCAGTCATCTTGCCTTTCATCACAGTCAATGCTCCTTTAACAATCCGAATGGTTTCCCTATCCTCGTCAGCCTTAGGGATAAAACCATTCTTGTGCAAAGTGCCCAAGGAAATCAAATTCTTCTTCAAGTCTGGATATGTCGAACACCACTTAACGTCCGAACGGAGCCATCGTGCATCTTAATTCTGACATCACCAATACCAACAATATTGCAACATCGATCATCACCCAAATAAACCGAACCAGAATTAACCGGCCTGTATGTCGAAAACCATTCCCTATTTGGCGTGATGTGATAAGAACATCCAAAATCAAGAATCCAAGCATCCGTCAATTGTGTCGTTGAAATAGAAAGCATATCACCCTCACTGCAATCAGAAGTATCATCCTCGACCACGTTCACAGACTTGGATGAGCCATCACGCTTCTCATCAGTCTGCTTTTTCAACTTCGGACAGTCTCGCTTCATATGTCCCGCCTCCTTGCACTTGTAACAGTGAATCGTCTTCTTATCCCTGGATTTGGATCTGGAATTCCGCTTCCCGGACCTTGCCTTCTCTGGCTTCCGTCCACGATCTCGATTACCCTTGACATATAAGCTATCGGCTTGAGAGCTTTCCCCTGCATTCTGCTTCCGCTGGTTGTGAGCCAACAAGGCTGCAGTAATCTCCTCAACGTTGATAGTCTCTTTCCCATATGTAAGAGTAGTCACCATGTGTTCGTAAGAGGAAGGCAACGAACACAACAGAATCATCGCTCTGTCTTCATCCTCAATTTTCACATCAAGCCGAGCCAGATCAGAAACGATTTGATTGAAGACATTCACGTGTTGCGCCAAATCGTGATCGTCCTGCATCTTCAGCCCATACAGCCGCTGCTTCAGATACAGTTTTGTCGTTAAGGATTTGGACATAAACTGACTTTCCAACTTCCTCCAAATTTCGTCTGGAGACGATAGATGCATGACGTGATACATGACCTCGTCCGCCAAGCATAATCGTATGGTTCCTGCCGCTCGCTGCTGCAATTCTTCCCAATCTTCCTCATCCATCGACGCCGGCTTTATAGGTCGCAAAGCCTTCAAGATCCCTTGCTGCGCCAATAGATCCTTCACCCTCGTTTGCCATAATCCGAAGTTACCCTGACCATCGAATTTCGCGACTTCGAATTTTGCTCCTGACATCTGATACCAATTGTTGATGAAAACGGGTAAAGAAAACGAAAGAACACGAGAATTTTACGAGGTTCGGCAATGTGCTTACGTCCTCGGTGCCTAGGCGGCACTAGAATTTTTATTCAATGATATTTTAGGTCTAGGTTACATCTCTATTTATAATAGAAAACCCTGGTACATAATTACAAAATTAACCCTGTACCGTACCGCGGGGGCTGCGCCCCCGCACCCCCAACCCACATAATTTGTAACCCCACAACGAGACTTTCTTTGTAAGGACAGTTGATGTTCGCTTCGCTCACTCCGCTCCATCTCATGTCCTCTTTACTGGTATATTTATGAGCCATACCTAACATTTTCAATGTTAGATTTGACGTCACATCGACTGATCAATATGATACTTATTTGTTATCATTTTGATTTTCCCAGCTTTGGACTTGGATACACGACTCGTGTTTTTAGATAGTTTTCTCAAGACGCTTGATTCTAATTTGCGATTTTTGGTGGTCTTTAAATAGTTTAATCCTCTATTGTGGTTCACTTGTTAATGTAGTTAAATTTGTTCGTATATGTCTTTCGTTCGAGTTTTTTGGATGAATTTTAACATTTTCCTTGTATGATCTCGAAGGGCTAGTTTATTGTGTCAATGATTATAAAAAATAATTTTAATTATATGTTTAGTTTACAAACTTTATTGTAATTTTGAATATTTTATGAAAAAACTAAAAACTAACAGTTCTATTTGCATAAAAAAAATTGTGGCATTCAGAGTGCTCAAACTCAATACCTCAAAAAATAAAAATCATTTTTCTCCTATTAATCAATGTCATTTAGTTCGTACAATCATTTTGCTCATTTTATATAACTTAAAATGTGGTGAAATTTATCTCTTAAAATTATATCCTTGATTAGCACGGAACAAAAATAATGAAAGAGGGAGTAAGTTATTAAAAAGTTAATCAACAAAAAATTTAACATTTGTTTTTTCATTCAGAAATAGACGTTACAAAAATACACGAGCAAAAGGGTTGAAAATGCATGTAAATATAACCCTCACAATCTCACCCTAGATTTTAGTAGGGAAGAGGATATAGGCGCCATAAGTTTTGGAAAATATAAAATCATAACGTAACCTCTCTCCCTCCTACAGTTTCATTAACAGAAATTAACTATTTACTTAATGGTTCATGTTCTTCCTCTCAACCTTTTGTATAAACTCTCCATTAGAGGGGAGCTTATTCAGAACCTGAGCCCAAGGGGCATCCTCAGAAACTGCCCCAGCAGCTGGGTTGTAAATCGGAGGGGAAAACAGGAACTAACCCTTCGATTGCTTCAGGTTTTTATATAATTACATTGGCTGTTTCAAAATGGCGGACAACAACGTCGCAGTTATCAGTATCTGTTCCGTTCTTCTGGTGGTGTTGGTTGTGGCGGTGACGGTTGGTGTCACTCAAGATGAGAAGGGCGACGACGATTGTCATTCCGAGTTACAGAGTTCGTCCAAGGCGATCAAAGACCTTTGCCAACCCACTGATTACGAGAAAACGTGTGAGAAAAGTCTGGAGAGTGCCAACACCACCGATACCAAGGTGCTTATAAGGACTGGTTTCAAGGCCGCCATAACCGAGATCGAGGACGTGATCATCCGTTCTGTCCTCGTGAAAGATTTGGTCAAGGACAAACCCAGGGCTCGTCAAGCTCTTCGCAATTGCAAGGTGCTGCTGCAGTACGCCATTGACGATCTCAATCATGCTTACGATCAAATGGGGAAATTGGAGATGAACAGATTCGATGAATACATTGAAAACCTCAAGATTTGGCTCGCCGCTGTCATCACGTACCAGGAGACTTGCCTGGATGGATTCGTTAAGACGAGAGGTGAAGGTGGGGCGAGAACAAGGGAACTTTTGCAGACCTCTCGGGAGCTTAGTAGCAATGCTTTAGCCATGGTTTATGAGTTGGATTTAGCTTTGAAGAAACTCGACCTTCCCAACATGAACACTTCTGGCTTCCCACATCGGCTATTCTCGCATACCGACGGTTTGCCGTCGTGGGTCAGCTCAACCCAGCGCATGCTCCTTGCCAAAAACACCACATCTGACGTTAAACCTAATGTAGTCGTTGCAAAGGATAAGAGTGGCAATTACACCACCATCAAAGCGGCATTGAAACAAGTCCCCAGGGGTAGTTCAGATCCATTTGTTATTTACATTAAGGCTGGCGTTTACAAAGAGCGGCTGACCATCAACAAGCATATGCACAACGTCATGCTCATCGGAGATGGCCCCAAAAAGACCATCATCACCGGTAGTAAAAACTACCGTGATGGAACTTCCACATACAGAACTGCAACAGTTGGTACGTACTATGCATATCTTTGTGAAATTGGGTTAACATCAATGTTAGCAAGCTGACTTTCCTACTATTAATCAACATTAAAAGTACATATATCTTCGTCAAATAGAATTCAAGTCAAACTCTAACCATCAAATTATTAAAGTAGTCATTTCCATGGAATTAATGAAGTGTTAGCTTTCAAATCTTGCAGCTGTTATTGGTAAAAGATTCATGGCCAAAGATATTCAAATCAGGAACACTGCTGGAGCCAAGAAGAGGCAAGCTGTGGCACTTCGAGTCCAAAGCGATCAGTCCGTCTTCTACAATTGCAAAATCGACGGTTACCAAAACACCCTTTACGTACACAGTCATCGCCAGTTCTATAGGCAATGCGCCGTAAGAGGAACCATCGACTTCATCTTCGGCGACGCAGCTGTAGTCTTGCAGAACTGCAAAATCATCGTAAAGAAGCCATTGCCTGGACAAAATTGCATCGTAACCGCACAAGGAAGGAGCGAACGCCGCGAGCTCACCGCCATCGTTCTCCATAATTGCACCATCTCTGGCACGGACGCGTACAAAATGGTGAAAAACAAGAACAAGGCATACTTCGGTCGGCCGTGGAAGGAGTTCTCCACGACCATCATCATGCAATCTTACATCGATGATGTCATTGACCCCGAGGGATGGGTGCGATGGGACGGAGACTTTGCTCTCCACACCGCGGTTTGTGCCGAGTTTGAAAATAGGGGACCCGGTGCGGACCAAACTGGCAGGGTTAAATGGAAATGTATCAAGCGTTTCAGTAAACGGCATGTGAAGCTATACACGGTTGGCGAGTTCTTACGTGGTGGTGAATTTATCCCCAAGTTTGGGGTGCCCTACTCTCGTGGCATGATTGATGGATTGTAGACCATCAACGCAAGATGATGAACCAACAGCTTTATTTAGTTATTTTTACTTGCATGAAAATATATGTAAGTTTCGTTAGGACTCGCAGACGTCAATATAATCGCGTACATAATTGTTTTTGATTTGTTTTGATTATAAATTACTAACACTATTTCTAAAATTATTCCGAAAAGATGTGTGTATTTCAAGTGATGAAAGATGTCTTAAAACTCATTTTACAAATTATATAGTCACAAATTATATATCGTCGCCAAGTTTTAATGATAAACAAAAAAAAATTACAAAGGGGCTGAATCTCACATTTTTAAAAGTAACTAGTAATATGTAAGCACAATGATAATGAATGTAAAGAATGTCAAGATTTATGTAGAAAATTTTTTCAATAAACAATTACGGGTAGAAGAAGAGAATTTTCACTAATGTCAAAATTATAAGAATAAAAGAAAATTTAGAGAAACAAATTGATTTTAAACCCTAATCCCTATTATCTATCCTAATGTGGTGGGGGATCTCATTGGTCTCTTGGACGTTGTCGCCACTAACCAGGTGCAGGTTTTTGTCGTCGGACATGACTGGGGTGTGCTCATCGCTTGGGGGTTGTGCAAGTTTAGACCAGACAGGGTAAATCTTTGGTTAACACGAGTGTTGCGTTCAATCCCAGGAACCCTGATAGGAAACCTCTTGAAACTCTTAGAACTGTCTATGGTGAAGATTATTACTATTACATCTGCAGATTTCAGGTTCTTTTGTCTTTCCCAATTTTATTTCTCTTTTCCATTAAGTTTTAATTAATTATGTGAATGAAGCATTTGACTAATCATTTTTACTTTCTCCAAACTTTTTTTTATGTTGGGTTTACTGTTTGAAGTGGTATTTTAATCAGATTAAAGTCATAGTTTTGGATTAATTAATTAATGATCTGCACAATGAGTCTCTAACTCTCTCTTCATTGCAAAAACGTCGATAGTTTTTTATTTTAATTTAATTTCCTTTGGAAGAACATATCGAATGAGTACTTCTGCAGAAGCCTGGAGTCAGGCCGAATTCAAAGAGATAGGATATGAGAGAATTCTAAAGGGATTCTTTACATACCGTACACCATGTCCCCTTCTTTTACCGAAGGGCAAATGTTTTGGATTCCCAGACACTCCAATAGGCTTGCCCTCATGGTTATCACATGAAGTGTTCAAGTATTTACATCAGCCAATATGGAGGATTAAACTATTACCGATCTATGAACTTGTAAATTTGTTTCTCCCTTCATCAACTTTAATCAATGCTTACCGAGTTTTATTGTATTTTCTTTGGAACTTGCTTATGATGTTGATGTATCTTTGTTGTAGAAACTGGGAACTTACAGAACCATGGACCAGGAGTCAAGTAAAAGTGCCGGTTAAGTTCACGTTGGCGACTTGGATCTGACCTACAATGCTCCGGGAACCAAAGACTATATACACAAAGGAGGTTATGTTCCACTTCTGGAGGAAGTGGTTGTCAAGGAAGGAATAGAACACTTTCTTCATGAAGAAAAACCTGATGAGATCAATAAACAAATACATGACTTCTTGAAGAAGTTCTAATTTGCTATATGAGATCTTCCCCCTTTTTTACTTGCAAAAGAGCGTCTTTTCCCATTTCCAGGGGTCAGTATCGACACTCATACACAACTCCGAATAATATATCTTTGAAATATTCCCTGGACAGGACAAACTCTTATATATTCTAAGTTATGCTGAACTTTACTGGTCTCAAGCTGCACTTCAGGTGTCGGTTATGAAATCTCACATGAAATTTTATTTGACTGACAAACCATTTAACAAGTTTGAAAAGCTAACAAGCATTAGTTTTGAGTTGGTTTCCGTATAACTCACTGAAAGACAAGTTCATAAACACAAGATTCATAGTACTATTATAAATTGCATACCCGTAAATGATCCTCAGGGTTGTGTCCCTTGGAAATGATTATATTTATGTTCGCTCTTTAGCTGCTCAGGTGCTTGGTTAACTCCAATGGTAGAATGAGCCATTTATGCCCAGCTGCAGTCGAATCCAAAATTTAAAGGATATACTTCAACAAGCTCGGGTTGTGTCAGCATGGAGGCACTAACCTCAAGCGCTTTCAGGCTTTTGGCGTCTTCCAACATCAAAGTGAACATCCACAAGGCCTGTTATCCCAGCAGTTATCTTTTGTCCTACCTTTACAGGGCCAACACCTTGTGGGGTGCCTGTGAATATTAAATCAAAAGGCAGCTAATTAAGACTTCGATCGAAGAGATCCCTTTTTGTCAATGAAATATTATACAATAAATATGCTTTGAAATCAGAAATTAAAATGAAAATGGAGCTAAACATGTGTGTATGCTAGAATTTATAACGAAACTAGAGCAAACCAACAAGTCACCCCATAACACACTATACAAACATAATGGAGAAATTAAACTCGATTGAGAGACAAGAAAATGTAATTTAACCTGTTAATATGACATCTCCATCAAAAAGTGTCATAATGGAACTTATGTAGCTAATGAGGTAAGGAATCTTAAAAATCATATCTTTGGTGGAACCCTTCTGTCGTATTTCTCCATCTACCTGTGATGAAAGAAATGCATCTAACCTTTACAAACTGGAATAAAGAATATAAAGTTGCAGAATTGCAAAAAGTACATGAAAAACAAAGGTGAAATACAGAAAACTAATGTATTAATCATTAACCTTTAACCACAGTTCCAAATTGTCAGGATCAGGCGCCATAGATTTAGGAAACTGCAGAAGAAATTTCAAGTAACCAGAATGTAAATGATCAATAACTTGATAGAAAAAGTGAAAGAAAATCTATTCCCCTAGGTCCCTATCAAAAAGAATGTGCCTAGATAATGCTAAAGGTCAGTAAACGGTAATGTTATCCGCTTCTGCGCATGCATGAATGGAGTTATTCATCAACTAAAAGCAAGAAACGCATGAAATTTGGATAAAAAGTAATCTTGTTTACTTTTCTCGTAGGAATTTAATATTGATTACTCACAAGCAGCATGTGTTAAAAATAGAAGATCTTCAAAACTAATTTGGGAAATGTACTTCAAAGGAAAGAGAAAAGCTATTTCAGGCTTATTTCTTACAACAGAACTTATAGGTGTAAATGTGTCCTGCCCTTTAGCAACTGTCCATGGAAGACCTGCAGACTGATAAATGTAACAATAAGGAATATCATTGACTAAAATAACAAGATAAGTGGAATCATTACAAAATGAACGAGCATCTGACCATTTAAAAATAAAATTCTTGTTCTCAGGAAGTAAAAATGAACATGTAGTTAAGATCCATGATGTACAATCATCTGAAAGGGGAATTTGTTGTGTTTCCACAGGGTTGGGGTGATATAATTCTTGTTCTCAGGGAGTAAAAATGAACATGTAGTTAAGATCCAAGATGCTACAATCATCTGAATGGGAATTGTTGTGTTCCCCGAGGAGAAAAAATCATTTTAAAAGATCTTTATCGAAGAATGAATTTCAACTTTTCGATTTTCCTCAAGGATGAAAGATTAGGTCCAATAGCTACATGCTTCATCAAATGTGTTATCCCATCTTCATTTGTTAACACATCAATGAAAAGAGTAAATAGCTACTCATGTTGAAGCTGGAGAATGTCCAAAGGCAAACTGAATTCTCATGTGAAGGAATCACGCTTTAAAAGAGAGCTGATACGAATAAAATTTGTACCTTTGCAACAGATTGGATTTCCCTTGCAGTCATATCCAGTGCTAAAGCATAGCCTGAAGCACACAAAAAATGGTAATTTCAAAATCAAAGTGATCACCAGGCAGCATCAAATGCTTCACATTCAAGTCATAACAAAGTCCAATATAAATATATAGCTTCTAAATTAAACTAAACTAAACTAAACTAATACCAAATAAGTAATCTCATGAAAAAGTGGGTTTGGAGGAGGATGGAAAGGAAATTACTTTCTTCCAGAAAAGGGAGATCTTTTAAATCTTAAACCCGGAAATAAGCACAAAACAAGGTTCACTGAATACCAATCAATGGTTGTACCCGGAAAAAACTGAAAAGAAGTATCTCATGACATGAACTTCAATGGTCTAAACCAGAACCAGACATGTCGTATTTTAGATAGAAATGATTCGATATTACCCCCAAAATAATCCATGGCAGTGTTTATAGGCACATCCCGAGCCTTTTGTCCGATCACAACAGCAAGCTCAACTTCATGATGTAAAGAATTCAAAGGGTGTGGAACCTCAATTGTCCCTCCGTTTTCCAAATACGATGATGTCGGTTTTAAAAACAATACCGGCTCCTGGAAACGAAATTTAAAACTTCAATTTTCTTTCCAACACTGGAAAATGATCAAAATTTGCTGACTGAACACGGTAATAAACGGGAATTAGATACCTTGGGGACAGCGTTGCCTAGTTCTTTGGCGTGCTCGACATAGTTGCGGCCAACGGCGACGATTTTAGTCCCGAGTTTCAGGGGACTTTGTAAAGATGCTTCCGCCGCCATGTTTTCCTTTTTTGGTTCAGAAATTTGCAAAGAAAAAGAGCAAGTGCTGGCTTCTTAATTAGGGGCAACGTTTGCTCTAATCTATTCGAATAGGGAAACATTTCAAATTACTTGAATTGAGTGTATTATTTTATTGTCTTAATTTAGTTGCTCTAAACCTATTGATCATGGGATGAGTCTAGAGAGTGACACGTATCAAAATACACCACCGCTACTAATAAATATATGATAAAATTTATAAGTGGTCATTAAATTTATTAGAATAAATTATATCATTTTTTACTGAATTTTATTCATTTTCTTATTTCACTCATTATATTTTTATTTTTTTCAATTTATTCAATCAATTCTAGATTCAGAGGATTCCTACGCTATTCAGTTGCACAATATGGTTTACGTATGTTATACAGAGGAAACATCTCAATTTCAATTGTCTTAATTGAGTTGTATTTTATAGATTAACTCTTTGTTTATATTATATTGTCGAGTCAGTGCTCGAAAGCAACATCGATGCTAGTAGGTGTTATTATTAATAGTTTAGAACATATAAATAGTCGGGTGATCGTTTTGTAATTTTTAATAGTCGGGTGATTCAACAAAACAATATCATATAGTCAATAAATCATTTTATAATTTTTAATAACCGGGTATTAATAGGTGTTTGATCAATAATTCAATTGTTGAACGTAAATTATAGAAATTCATAATATGTTACTAGTGGAACTGAGGGAGGAATAGCATGAGATGGCATCGATGAGCATGCAGTAATGCTAAGTTCGATTATGTTGATGTTGGTGTATAATAACCATTTTCTAAGCTCGAGATTGGTGTAAAAGATAAGGCAAATACTGCATCGACGATGAAGGCGGTGGTGGTCTGGGTGCCGATGATGATGACAAAAGCCTGCAAGCAGATTGGACGTGGGTTTAATGGGCTTACAAGAAATGGGTTTTCTCTTCCTAAAAAGGCCTCCTTCCATTCAATTGATGCCTTATAGCCTAAAAGTGGCTAATGGCTTATTCTGCAACCTCCATTTATTTTAAATTATTTTGAGTTTGAAATTTTTTAGTAAACTTTAGTTGTAAATTTATAATTTATTATTTCAATTACACTAAAATTATCGTTATTACTGTTATTTGTTAACATTAAAATGGTATGAAATCAACTTTTATATAGATTTAATTATTTTTTAAAAATACATATATGTTTCTATAATTTTTTTACTAATTTATTATTTAACTATTAAATATATGCATAAAAAACTATTAAATATATTTAGAAAAGGACGTTGACATAATAAATTTATATCATTAGCCACCGTTACATAATTATTTTATTAAAATATTATAGTATTTTTTATAGAATATTTATTTAGAATTGGTTATTTATTTTAATAATAAATTCAAATTCGATAATTTAAAATTTTAGTTAACACAATAAATAGTTTCTTAATTAACACTATAACATTTTTTCCAATTGTACTTTAAATCCCTTTAATAGTGAGACGTTGGGTCCAAAATTTAGCCATACACATCAGGGAGATTTAGAAGAAGTAATCTGTCCTCATCATTAGCAATGGCTTTTTATTGATATTATATTTTCTTTTGTACCCGTGAAATCGGTTTCGGGAACCTAATTTGTTGGTAGTTATTGAATATAACTGGAGTGGATTGATTAAAAGCTCGTCATTAACTTAATTATTAACTGTAAAAATCAAAATTTAATCTATGTTTGAAATATATGTTCGTCTCAAAAGATGTACAAGTCCTATGCTACTTTCTTAATATGAGACATCTAAAATATTTTTTTAATAAGAATTGATTTCTCAAATTTAAAATTATGAAAGACATATGAGTCTTTTTATCAAAATTCATCATGAAAAATGATTAAAGATACTGTCAAAATCTTCGTTTGTAATTTTATCCACCACTTTCCCGAGAACCAAACGGAAATTTTGTTTTCCCTTTGAACGAAAATATCATTAACGCATAAAAATTATATATGGACGGGTTTGAATGGCGTTTACGTATGATCTCTAAATTTTAAGATCATATGACGTGTCACATGTCACATTTGTATATAGACGATACTAGTACCACATCTACATCTATTCTTGCTAATAGTATTAAAAAAATTATTAACATATTCAAATATAGGGCTATATCAATGTTTAACATTTAAATGTTATAAGTTCTTATTTGCTTTCTCTGAAAACTAATAATCAATTTTCTCTATTTCATCCCCTTTCTTATTATTGGTTAACATATTTTTATAATGGACGTTGACGAAATTATCTTAAAATGATAAGGAAATGAAACTTTAGGCACCTTAAATGGTAACATAATAAACATTAGGTACAGACTTTGATAAAAAGAAAAAAAAAACACTTTAAGCCCTTAAAAAAAACAAGAGATAGAGTTTAGATAATTTTTAATTAAGTCTTTTCCTTACAAAAATCTAGGGGAGGAAGGGTGTGACCCCTAAAATGATAAATTTTACATTTAATCCTTTAAGTTTCAAAATTTTACACTTAGACAAAGGCAAAATTGTATTTGAGCCCTCCATAAATGTTTAAGTTTCAATTTAATCCTTTTCCAACTTATAAATATATAAACCAAAACAATGATAAAATTATACTTTTGTCCTTAAAATTTTTTACTACTTGCTTATGGCTCAAAAAAATCTTGATTCGGCCTTAATCAAATCTAAACGATTTGAATTTTCTCAAACCAGACCGACAAAATTTAATTGTATTTAGTTAAAACACCAATTATTATATTCATGTATCCTATAGACTTTTTTCAAGTGTTCCTTAATCCACTACCAATCAAGCAATGGAAGGTAGAAAAGAAGAAAAACAAAAGCAACTTTATATATGTTGGGAAAATAACAAATATCAGACTATTTACATGCAGAGTCAAAAACTGTAATGGCAAACCAATATCGATCTTGCGTCCATAGTTGACGGAAACTAAAGGTTTGGCTGGAAATTTTGGAATATTTGTATGCAGATTATGAGACCAGGAAAAATGTGGACATTCCTGTAGTGAAACATATTCTTTCCCACTACCACGATCTTCATCATATCAGTTTTTTTTAGTCTAAGACATCTAATATCAGTAGCCGTATTGGAACTTGACTATTTTAAGATTGCGTTGAATAGATTCCTAAACTAGGAACTGTATACAAAGTTCAAAATTTAGTTAGCATTTTGTGATAGAAAAAAAAAAGTAACCTCCAGAAGATATCTTCCGAAATTCCATGTCATTGACATAACCTCTAGCAGGTCTATATGATCTGTTAGAGTTAAATCTATTAATTGATAGTGGATTTTATTTATCATGCTTGATTTGCATACCTACAAATATTACATCCACACACAATAAGGTTCACTATATAAATCTTGGTGTAAAATAAAAAAGGGATTGTATCCTTAGGGCTGGGGTCTTTCAATCTCTATCTTTTTCTTGGACCATTTTTCTCTGGTTTTGAATAATCAGACAACGTTAACCGTCTGAAAATCTACTTTGAATCACCGATTATGATTCTTTGTTCAAATCATGAGTGAACAATCAATAACTATCATAATCTCCTTATTACCATCAACAAATATTGAATGAGTGATGGAAAATATACACAAAATGGAATCTCCATCACATGTTAGTGACGGAAATTGTCATCTTGGGGATGGACCTTATCCATTACTATATTTGTCTCAATGTAAATCCCTCATACCGATGCGGGTAACCCGATCCGATCTGTGGTGTTACATTAGGGCCACCGGAGCGACCCACTATAAAAATCTTGGAAAATTTAAAACTTTTTATTAAAACATGTAAACTTATAAAATCTTTAAATCGGTATGCAGAATTAAAACATATTTTCTGACTCATATATAAAACAAAATACAATTACATGCCCTCTAATCACATATACCATACTCTGCAAACAACGCTGGAAGAACTCCTTTACTGAAGTTGATAGTTGCACTGGTACAATTCCTTTAACCTGCAATGGTGAGTAATAGAGTGAGCTTCGGAAAGCTCAATAATACAGAACTACCAGATGATGCTAAAGAACGTACAGATATAGATAAACATATATTTCCTTATTGGTTCCGAACATCTACAGATTTTATGCTGAGCGGAGATCCTACTGATATTTCAGGGGTAACGGACAATGAGCTTTCAGTTCTGAGAAATATTTTGAATGACTAAGTTCAGGAGATCAGAATAGGTTATCTAGTGTGTTCCCGTAAAACCAATAAAAAAGATACAGATCTTTTAAAACATATATATATATATATATATATATATATATATATATATATATATATATATGAACACTACCCCCATCTGTCACGAACAAAATGTGTAGGTTCCCCAGAACCATACAACCCCGTCACGTCCAGTAAGGCCCTGAGCACAAAATCGAGGAGCCTTCAAGTATTCTTCCTCCAACAATACCCCCCAAATAAAACATGTTCAGTCCGTAAACGGATATATAAAAAATCAAAACATAATTCATGTCAAGTATCATATCAGAATTCATGTCAAGTATTGGATCAAATTCCAGGTCAAGTATCATATCAGAATCCATGTCAGGTATCATAACATAATTCAAATCGGAAATCAAATAAAATATTCAAGTGATTAGGGAACACACCAGAGTTTACATATATTATTTAGAGGTACTAGATAATCTTGGCAGACAGAGAAACACGGATCTTCAGTATGCCGATAGAATGTTGGAATTTAGAATCAATATTGGAAGAGATCAATAACTGATGGAATCATCGGTTATTCAGAATAAGACTTGAGCTGGTAAGGAAGAAATGAAGGTTCAGGATCTTTACAATCTATGTCGATTGATTGTATTATCAAACAACTCCATATGAATATATCCCAGAACTAATGCTTGTCAATTGGTAAATTCATTGTCTTTTCAGGGTATTTACTTTTTAATACCAAAAATTCTTATCCATAGATCATCTTTGGAATCATCGTTGAATAGATCTTCCAATGTCTTTATTTCATTTCCACGCTTCCACAATATCATGAAATGCTGACGTACTTGATTTATAGTTCATGAC